GTGTGGATGAGTGGGAAACAAATTATTCCCTTCTACTCTCAAAGGCCATCAGTGTCTGTAACACGCAGCCTGCATCACACAGGTCCTCAAAGGGCTCTCCAGAGGTGCCTTTAAGACTTGCAGGTGCTCCTGCTGCTGTCTGGCAAAGCCCATTGCTGTTTGCTTGCAGACCAGGTATTTGGCTTGTAGACGTGCAACTTGAAGTCCTGAAGAATGAAAAAAGCAAATGCAGAAACTTTCACTGCTAGCAGAAACCAAGATCTTGTAGCTGGTGAGAGGCACAGCATGGCACAGCGCGGCAGGGATGAGTTCTCACTGTGCTTACTGCCTGTAGGGACTGGCATGTCACTGCTCCTCGCTGCTTTGAAGTCCCTGTTTAAGAACAGTTATCTCCCTATCTGCTCTTCCTACTTCCTGATAATACAGTTTTATATAAACTGCAGTAATATTTAAATTCAAGTAAATACATGCAATATTCAAAAATCTGAGTTCCAAAGGTTTCTCTGAATTCCCTCTTTGTGTGCATATGTTGTACTTGTGGCTGGCCACCTAGAGAATCTTTAAGGAATTCACCTTCCTGATGCTGTCAATGTATCACTCCGTTCCCAGATACTGTAACCAAGCAGCGCTGCAGGCTTTGCTTTGCAGAGAGATTTGCTATTTACACAGCGCTGCAGAAGTGAACCTGCGTTTTTAAATCACTGCAGCCAGAGGTTATGCAGACTGTGCAGCTGCAGGGTTTGATTCATCTGAACATACTGAGTTAGGGACTGATTTAGACTTAGATTTCAAACTTGCTCTGTGAGTGTTATGTATTCAGGTCTGCCTCTTCTGTTTATAAGATCCGAGTTCTGAAATAATTCAGAAATACATGCAGAAAATAATTCAGAATAATTCAGGAAAAATAATGCCTTCTCTCATGTGCCCAATGCTTGGTCTCAGTGGCTGCAGCTGCTGGCACTGCCTCAGGAATTGTGTTTGAGTAGGTGACTGGGCTGCCCATCCACAGCTGCTGTTGGCACATCTGCTTGTGTTTTGCATGTGGAGTTGCATGTGCCATTCTGAAAATGGCAATTACTGCCCCTTCTCCCAAGTCTGACTGCTATTGATCTATGGATGGAGTGCAGAGTGAAGGAATTTTGTTTATGCAGAGGTGAGCTGATGATTTTAATCATACCACAAATTTCCATTTTGTTTAGAAATCCAATCGTAACAGTGAAAACCGAACAAGAAAAGTCTCCTTGTTTTCTGGATGATGTTATTTGTTTATCCGCCGAAGTGCTTTGCATTTCCTCAGGTCACAGACCAGCCCGTGTCTGGCCATGTTAATATTATAAGAGTTATGCAAAAGTAAAGTTTAAGAAAAATCTTTCAACTGAAAGAAATAGGATCTTAAAATCCCAAAATAGAGTATGGAAAGGTACACATCATGTCTGGCTTCTCCTTCCCCTTATGGCAAATGTGACTCAAAGGAGTTGGTTTTTTTCCAGCTCGATCTGTATACAGTTTGGGGGAGTTTTATTGTGAATAGCTCACCTTATAATACACAAACATATTTCCTTCCAGAGTTCTCTATTCATAAATCTTTCTTAATTCTCACTCTCTCGAAACTGAAATCCAGATCTTTTTTTCTTTTTTCTTTTCTTTTTTTCCATCACTGCAAGAAGTGAGAAAGGCAGTAGGACAGCACCTTGGTGCAGGGCTGCTCCTCTGCCCTCATCCTGCTGTGCTCCCACTCCAGCTGAGCAGCACAGCATTGCGCCCTGCCCTTGGGCAGCTGCAGCTCTGCCAGCTGTGCTCTGCCCTTCTGAGGGATTAGCAGAGGAGTGGGACTAGAAAATCCTGAGGCGTTAGAGGAGCTTGGTTGTTGCTAAGGGAGGAAAAATGAACTTCAGAGTTACTATTAAGAAACTTCACTTCTCCATAGGGTTCTTTGAGAGCCTCTTTTGCCCCCTTTGTGCCCTCAAAGAAATGTCAGCTTTCTGCTAAATTGTGAGGTAGGTGCCTAGCACAGAGGTGTCTGTGCAGGCTGACAGTCTCATCCAGCTCAATTTTGAGGAGAACTGTACCTAAAACAAAACTTCAACATCTTCTTTCATTCTAGTTCACAATGCATTTCTGTGTATGAAAAGGGCAGCACAAAATACCAATTCCTTCCTGTCCCTGTGAAGAAGGTTTAACATCCGCATTGCCCTGTTATGGATGGAGAGAGATTATATGGCACAACCAAAGCAATGCAGCAAGTTAGTGGCAAATCTTGGTGTAAAACTCTGACTTTCGTGTGCCTACAGCAGTTCTGTGAGCTGTCCATCCCGTTTTGTTCCTAAGTCATCCTGGTGTATTCTTGGTGTATGAGTGGCAGATGGAAATGCTTGTGCTAAATGATCCCTTGTGTAATCCTTTAAAATGTAAAATATAAGCAGTTTGCTCAAGATAAGAGCATCATTTTTAAATTAGGTTGCAGAACACTTTTATATATCTTTTTTTCATTGTATTTGATTTACATAATGCTATTTTGATTTACAGTGATGTCATCCCAAAGCATTCCCGTGGTGCCATAAATTACCAACTAATTACTTTACTTTCTTCCACTGATGAAACTGTTTATTTAAAATCTGGTCCTGTGAAGGACGAGGTCTTTTACGATGTGTTTTACTGCTCTCGACCCTCAGGTGACACAAACTTTGCCATATGAGCAGACAATTGACTCCTCTTTTTTTAAGCGTGTATGCATTTGTACGGCTGAACACCTACATGTGTGTATGTTATTAGAAGACCAGGAATAGTTTTACCTTGGGAATGTGCTCTGTACATGAGCAAAACCACCCTTTACAATTAATTTTCAAGGTGGTCAGTATTAAAACCTGTGCATGGGGCAGTTCTGCTATAGCTGCTACTGCCGGCCCTCACCTGGGGCAAATTTTCCTTTGTAATTTGTTACCTGTTTTCCTCTGTTCCAGTCTCCCAGTGATAACTCTGGGTTTTGCTCGGCAAGTTCATAGGTGGAGCAAATGCTGCATTGCTGTCACTGCAGCCACTCTCCAGCCCAAAGCACCTCTCATCGTCCTTGCTGGGTCCACAGATTGTGCTGTCAGGCACAGTACTTAAAAAAACCTCCTCTCTTCTCTTTCTCCCTCTCCCCTTGTAAAGACAAGATGGCTTTTTGTCATACAATGGCTTTTTGCTGAAGGCCAGGAAATCCTGGATTTTGAAAGAACTGTGCTTAGGCTGCATTTCAGTGTTGCTCTCAGAGGACCTGGGCTTAGTGGGCCTCACCATGGGTAAGCAGGGGATGATTTGCACACTCAGTTCTGTTCCCAGTAGACCTGTTGTCCAGACCTCTGTTGTCTTCTTTTTGCCTCACTCTGTCTCTTTCTGAACCTCCTCACGGCTGCCATCATATTTAGCACATTCTAGACAGTGTTGCTCCTCCAGTACCAACAGCTCTTGTGCTTGGAGCCCAGCTCTGCTCCTCCTCTGCCTGGCTGCCAATTGGCACGTTGGCGCAGAGCCTCAGACCCTAAATTCCCTCCTAACAACGTAGCAGAGTGCTTGTGTGAGTGAGTTATTGTAGATGTCTGAGCTGCGTCTGGGCTGGGTTCTGAGGTTCTTCCATGCATGACCCGTGCTTAAGTCTGTTGGCTTCAATGGAGCTTTAGGTTGTAAGGTCTCTGGGGCACGGACATCATCTTTGTGTGCCTTGCAAATATGTGCTACGTGAGTAATGATAGCTTAGCAGAGCGAGTGTCGCTTTACATTTGCCATACTGGAGGAAGGTTGCCAGGATCGTGTTGATGCTGCATGTGGTCCCCTTCCGGGGGGGATTAGTCCTTCTGTGCAAAGATACCTCCTGCTGACTGCTGAGAAGAGAAAAAGGAAAAAAAAGAGGAGAAAAAAGAAAGGTTTGCCGTAATTACCATTAGCTTGATCTTCCTTTTTTGTGTTTTCTTCTAGTTCTGTTTGCTTTGCACAGCTTCATCAAGCTTTTGTATGTGGATGGAATAATTGAAAACAAATTTGGTGTGTCTCAGACTATAACGTTCCCTTTCAGCTAGATCACTAGCCATGTGGAAGATAAATGTCTGTTTTTCATTTTTGGTTATGTGAGAAATTTAGGATGATTTGATTTGTAATTTTGAATGTTAATGAAGAAGAAGATATTTCTTTGTCTTCTGGCCTACAAAGAAATTCTGGCTTTCTTGCTTCTCTTGAAGCAAATACTGTTTAGGAACATGTTATTTATTATAGAAGGGTTTCTTTATGTCTTTGAACTGTAGAGGGTTCTTACCCTCTTACATCTAATTCAGCCAAGTCCTCACTGTGTCACAAAACAAAAAGACCATCTCTGTCTGTACAGAGAGGATTTAGTGGAAGGCAAAAAGAGTGGCTGAAGGCAACATCCTTCCCCAGCAACTGGGGGAAGGATGAATTTCAGTGAGCAGGGAATCAACCCCACCTGAGTGTGTTAGGAAGAACAAGAGCATATATTTTTAAGGCTATTAAAGAATTTTGCAGACTGAGAGCTTTGTAGGGTGGAAAAGTAGATATTAACAGAGAACATCCTCCCTAGGGGAAGAAGATGGTGGGCAGAAAATACAGTGTTTGTCTGTCTGTGAGCAAACGGTGTATGTGAGCACAGTGAGGCAGTGGGTGGTGCATTTCAGCAGCAGTGATGTTAAAAGACAACCCGCACTCCTGATGGCCATGCAGATTTTTATGAGTGCAGCTTGCGGGCTCCTGTTCATCACTGGCAAAAATGCACAGCTAATGATGACGACCAAGTTGGAAAATACAGTGTTTTGTAGCTGAGAATTTGCTCTATCAAGCAGTGTTATTGTACTATCTGTATTTGTGGTAGTTTCCATGGAAATAAATAGGGGGCATTACTTTTGGAGAGGCTTACTTCCTGATCTCCATATCTGTGAGCATCTCAGTACCTCTGCTGAAATGAGGGTATTCCAAGCTCTGTGTGTGACACCTGATTCTGAATGTCTTGCCAGCTTCACGGTTACATGGAGAACAAACCATTGGGTCTTCAGATCTTCATCGGGACAGCAGATGAACGGATACTCAAACCTCATGCTTTCTATCAAGTCCATCGCATTACAGGAAAAACTGTCACCACCACCAGCTATGAAAAAATTATTGGCAACACCAAAGTTTTAGAGATCCCACTGGAACCCAAAAACAACATGAAAGCAACGTAAGCATATCTCTTTTTATTAGCAAAGTTGTGGATGTTAAGTTCTTCCTCCCGTGGAAAGCAGGAACTTGAACGGATAAAGATGTCTGTCCTGGAAAGACTCCCCTTTCCAAAGCATTTGGATGATAATGAATGTAAGGCCCTTTTTACAAAAGTTTGAGCAGACAGGTACAGGTACCTGGGAGAAAGCTGGTAACGGGGTTATCATTCATCAGCTAAGCACGCACATGTTTTTGCTATTTGCCCCAGTTGCTGCAGCCTGGTAATTGCCTGTTGTATCCAAAGTCAGAATGGTTCGGTGTGGCGCTGAGGAAAATGAGACTCAGATCTCAAGTCCTTATGCCATGGGGATGCGAACAAGGAGCAGTAGACAGCGGAAGAAAAGCATACATTTCATTTTTACAACAGTTAATGGAATAGAAAACATCTCTCCTGAGCTCAGCCAAGTGCTCTGGCCATGAAATTGCACTCTCCTGTTGTAATAGGTTACCAGAAAAGCAAGTACAGGCACATCTTTTCTGTATTATTCCTTGCAGTTTTATGGAGGCAGAGGGATGAAGTGGGCACCAGTCTGAAACTTTGGGCTTGAATGTGTGCCAGACTGCATGAGAGTGATTGCTCTGCAGAGGGAAGGGCTGTGTCTCCATCCTTCAGAGGATACTGACAAACTTGGCAGAGAGGCTTTGTTTTTAAGCCCCCCCTGCGTCATTGCAAAATCCACATTCTTTCTTTATATATCTTCTTTTTAATAGAGTATATACCTAATTTCTCCCTTTCCTCTAAGCCTCTCCTTCCCTCTGCATCCAAAGAAGTAAATAAAAGCCTGCATTTCAAATTTAAGCAGCCAAGTGCTAAATGGAACATGACTGTCTCTTCCTAACAAGTAACCCTGGAATAATAAACCCCTGCATATAAGCAGTGGTGAGGGGGTAGGAAACTGAGTTGGATTTATCCTCCCAAAATGTGATTTTCATTCATGTGGAATGTGTGCTATTTTTCAAATGGATACAAAAACACGTTGGCAGTGCCTGTTGATACCTGCACTCACTGCACCCTCTGAGCTGAAGAACTCAGGTCCTGCAACTCTGTATTGGCACTTCCTCTTGCCTGGGCTCTGCTGTAAGCAGACAAGTTTGCTGTGCTACACAGGGCTCGCTAGAAATCAGCCTGCACATAAGCACACAGTGTTAAGCAGCAGCGCTGGGTACAGCGGTCCTCATCCCCTCATTGCCCCCTCCTGCTCCTGTCAGCCTCCCTTTGTGCTTTGACGAATGAGAGCGGAGAAGAGTTTTCTTTTCTACTGTGTGGTGCCCGCTCTAAATGGCCTGTGTGTTTGGCAGCATTGACTGTGCGGGGATTTTGAAGCTGAGGAACGCGGACATCGAGCTGCGTAAGGGTGAGACGGACATTGGCAGGAAGAACACCCGCGTCCGGCTTGTCTTCCGCGTGCACATCCCTGAGTCCAGCGGCCGCATCATCTCTCTGCAGGCAGCATCAAACCCCATTGAGTGCTGTAAGTACCCTGAGATCTGCTGGGAAGCAGCAGGCGTGTGCGGCCGGGGTCGTGTTTGCATCGTGCTCTTTGTGCAGGAGTGCTCTGTAGAGTGAAGGTGCAGCCAGAACTTGTTATCTGCAAGCTGGTGGTGGAGGCTTGGAATCCAGACCTGGGTTGGGTCCTGGCTCTGTGATGGGAGCACAGAAGAAATGGAGTGCAGGTTGGGTTTAGAGGCTTGGGCCCATCCTGGTGGTTGTCTTTTCTGGGCAATAATGCTGCTGGGGTGTGTGCTGCTCGTTAGGCTGCAGTTGAAGCAGGGAAAGCCCAGGCTATTCTGGTATTCCCCTGAGAGACAGAAGAAAACTCACAGTTTTGATTTCTAGGGGCATTTTCTATAAGTGTGTAAGCTGAGAAACCTGCACCTCCCACTTGTTAAAACATCCTGAGAAAGAAAGGCCTCCAGCAAGGTGCCCCCAGGATCAGTCATTTCTGGAAGGGCTCCACCCACTCTGCTGGTTTACATGCATCCTGTGATGCTTTTTGTTGGTAAATGGTGTCTTTTCTGAGGTTTGGGGATTTCACAAATATAAAATGAACAGTTTTTCTCTTCCTTTGCTGTATGACTCACCCCTTTAGCAGAACCTGTCTTGCCTTAAATCATGTTAAAGTCATTGAAGAGTTTCCCATGTGCATTTTGTTTGTTTATTGAGGGCAGGCTCGCTTAAATAACAGCTACTTATAACAGGACAGGAGACAACTTTGGATGGAAAATCAAGTCCAGCTATTACTAATGAATCATTGGAAAAAAAAACCAAAAACAAAAAACAAACAAAAAAACAGTAGAAATTAATTTTAAAAAGAAAGCTAAGGAGATAATGATGGGTATGTACGTTCTCCTGGCAATTTTTATGAGAGAATGCCAACTATCAGTGTTTTACCATCAAAGCAGAGTTTTTGGGCACTGTGATGGGAGTGAAGAGCATTGAGAGTAACTACCAGCTGTCTCCAGGGGAGATGGGATTCTCTATGTGACCAAATGACTGAAATGGTAGCAGCCCCAGGTGTGTCCCTGCTGAAACAAAGGTCCATGTGCTAGAGGAAACATTCAGTAAACTGCACATTCTGTGGCAGGAAAGGAATTGCAGGAAAGGATCACCTGGTTTCTTCCTTGGTTTCTTTTCCAAGTGAAAATGTTTTTCTTGTAACGGGGACCTACTCAGGTGGGGAAACTGTGGGTGTGACAGGTGGGTGAGCCGTGCAGACAAATATCACAGGTCCAGATGGATGGTCCCTGGGTTGTGCGTGAACTCACCAACGACACCCAGTAATTCCAATCCTCCTACCAGAAAACCAAACACCACTTTCACAAAGAGTGAGCTGAGCAGTTCTAAGACCCTTCTGCAAATACACTGTATTTGTGTCCATCACTGATGAGCATTCAAGCAGAAATCCAGTCATGGTTTACAGAACAAGATCACATTTTCTGAACCATACATGCACACCTAATTTGCCTGTGCAATGACTATTTGCACCAGCTTGTTTAAGATGTCTAGGCATTCATACTGAGATGTGCTTACTTAGATGAGTCCTAGAGGCATAAAAAAGCCAAAGGTGAAGATACTAGTCAAGTGGCCTTTTTATAGCTTTCTTATAATTAAATAATAAGTTTATTATAACTAAATTGATCGTAACCAATGATAGTTAGGCAGATAAGAAAGCATGTATGAGAGATGCATTTTCCTGAATTCATGGAAATAGAGTGTGAAGTGATCTGGAGAAGTAAGCCTCTTCCTTTGAGAGTGTGTTACATGTTTACGGGGCTTTTGCGTTTAAGTAGCGCTTCTTGATGGCAGCCCAGTTCTGGAAGATGGTTAAAACCATGGGTTGGCTCAGCCAGCACTGCTGACACGGACTGAATCACACCAGAGATGGCAGTCAAAGTTTCTCACAGCCTGCTCACGTCGCAGTGCTCAGACTGGCTCAGGCAACCTGACACACCATGGTATAGCAGGAGCACACTGGGGCTCTGAGGCGTTTCCTCCTTGCATCCCAGTTTCCCCCCTTCCGTGCTGCTGGGATTCTCTTTTTCTCCACTGTTTGCGTTTTGTTTTTTTGACGTGGCCACATGGGAGCCCTTCTCCCCACGGCCTCCCCTGGAAGATCTCTTCTGTCTGGTAGCTGTTAATGATGTCTCACCGGGAAAGCCTCAGTAAGTAGCAGCTTTAGGATAGAGAACTGCTGTTTCCCCAGCAGTGGGGTTCCCTGGAGAGCGCTGTTGCTACCAACAGAACATCTGAGTGCTCTCCTCAGCAGAAGCCGATCCCGGCTAAAAACTCCCACCGGTGTCAGCAGATCATTAGCTGCAATGAGGCAACAACTGTGAAGTATCTGCTTTTCTAGGGGGCAATTTGGTTCTGCCTCATCTGTGTCACGTTCAGCACTTGACAGGTTTTAGGAGGGGATTTCACAAGTTCAAAGAGCCATCCGGAGCAAGTTCCTCCCCAGGCAGCTGTGTGGGAGGAACACAGAGGTGCTACGTTGTTAAATGATCAGTTATGCCTCAAAATGGACCTCGATCCAGACATGCTGCGCATTCAGCAGCTCGCAGAGGTCTTATCCTTTTGCCTGTTGATTTGTTCTGAAGCCTCTGAGGAGGCAAAAGCATCTGAGAGCCCTCTGATGATTGTAACAGGCTATCACTTAGGTAGGGAGAAAGAAGCTGCTGTCTTGGAGGTGTGGTGCTGGAAGGGTGAGAAAAATCTCTTCTGACCGTTGCTCCTTGCTGACCTCAAATCTGAGCCTGAGCATGAGTCCTAATCTCTGAAAGTACTGAGAATACAATTAGAGCAAAGTGCCTCTCAGTTGCAGTCCTTTGCTGCCAAAATACAGTATTGTCATCATCACCACAGCACGTCTGAGATCAGAGCAGCCATTGCAGAGCTGCAAACAGCTGCTGTCACGCAAGGGGGTGAAATCTCAGCCACGAAGAGTCCTGCAGTTAACTTGGCCCTTCGTGTGCAGCCAAAACAACAACAAGGCACGCAGTGAATTGCCCCTGGAGAGTTTTGGTGTTCGCAGACCTGGTTGTTATTTTCAATCCATTCCAACAATATCTGTAATATTGGTTCTGTTTGTTTCTTTTGATGCTCCCTACGAGCTGAAGCCTGTTTCTTGGTGAGTGGCTGATCACTGGAGTCGTATCTCTGCTTCTTGGCTGAGCTATCCGTGGGGTGGGGAAGGAGCAGCATTGAAGGCATTTCAGAGCAGCCACAAAAGTACCTGGGAGAGACTGCCTGCTTTTCTTTGTGCTGCTGACAATGGGCAATGCAAACGTCTGTGAGATGTGAATGTAAGGGTGAGAGTCCCACTCGCATTGTCACAGGACTTAATTCTAGTGGATCGTGGTCAAAGCTTCCCAAAGCATCTCACAGTTCTTGTTTCGTATAATCTGTGTTTGCTGAAACTATGCTGTGCTCACAAATCCCTTAAAATACAAATGATGACACTTGGCACGAGAGAGAGAAAAATTCTAAAACCTTGTTCTTATAATAGATATTCCACGGTGGTAAAAACAAAACAAACAAAGCTTATTACTGAAGAACAGTGTGTCCAGCTAAGGAATTTAAAATAGTTTCTATTATTGACAGTATTTTGTTCCACTAAATCGGGTCAAATATCTTATTTCCCTTCAATCAATTTCCCTGGAAGTTTCCTTTATTTTTCTCTCCTTCTAGTAGATTTTCCCATATTAGACAATCTGAGCCTATGATATTTGACACATTAATAACTCCAGAGGAAAGAGCTAGTCATTTGAAAGAATGCTGTCCTGGCAAAGCAGCGAGCGCTTTTCCTCGGCCGCGAGTTGTGCTGGCTGGAATACAGTGGCAGGCAAGAAGGAGCCCTGCTTTGCTGAGACAAAGGCATAGAAGCAAATGATCTCTTTGTACCTGAGAGATACTCATCTGCAATTTTAACCAGAAATGTGATTATTATGAGAGTGGCATGGTTTCCAGTTGAGTTCAGGGAATCTCCCCTGTTTGCTTCAGTTTCAAGACGTGCAGTTCTCCATAATGCAGCTCATGCAAAAACTGCTGCTTTTCCCAAAGTGAAATTTGTCTCTCTCCTAAAGCACAGAATTTAACAGTTAGTTCTGACATCTTTTGCCACTTTCAGTGTGCAACCAGAAGATTTTAATCTGGAAAATCTGAGTCAGAAAGAGAATGCCCACCCTTTCTGCAGGCTGCAAGCCTTCAGTTTACTTTATGCCTTTGCAGTACTGCTGTTGGTAAAAGTAAGCGACCCAGCCTATTATGCAGACCATGGATTTCTGAGCATAATTTAAGCTCAGCAGATCTCCTCCACAAGGGATTAAAGGGAAATGCTGTGCATACCCGCAGAGATGATCGACAGGGAAGTGAACCGAGGCCATGGTTTTCCTGTCATTAATCACATGCTGGTTTGTTGAGCTGGCTGCAGTTCATAGAAAGTATCATACTTATCTGACACTGCTGCCATCAGTGCTTGTCACTCCTTCTTCACATAGGCATCATAAAATAAATTATGTGCAGAGAAGGAGGTGGGGAAAAGTCCTCTATTCTTGGTGGGTTTTTTTTTTCTTGGATGGCTCTGTACGAACTGCTATTAAGTCGTGCTGGTAACAAGTTGGAAACTGTTGTCATCCCATCCTGGGTTCTTTTTTTGGTAGCATTTAGATCAGATTTCAAGGCTTCACATTGCAATGGTTGGAAATCTGCTTTATTTACTTGGTTCTCACTTAAGCCTTCTGCTACCCAATGGTCTTAGCACGAGGTAAATCCTCCCACCCTACTGTCCTTGGTCCTCTCCAGTCCCACCGTGCAGCTCCCAGCCTTCTCCTCTCTGCCCACCCATAGAGCTCAGGGTGCTTCAGTGTGTGATGAATGGGATCAAAGTCTCTCAGGACATTAATGCACTGGGTAAGCAGAGGGCACAGGAGTGCTGCTCCTATCAGTCCTCCCACAGGCAAGCAGTTTGCAGTAAATAAACACAGAGTGACAGGAGGAAAGAGATATTTACTTTGGCTCATTAAGGTTTGCACTGAGGTGGAAGAATTAATCCCGCAACAAATTACGCTGCTGCTAAGGCACTGCTGTTGCTTCTAGGATTTAGGGTTCTTTTTAGCATCAGACAGGCTGCTCTCCTTGCCCTTCTCCAACCCAACAGGAACCGGTGGCTTCAGCCAAAAGCCTTTGGGGGTTTGAAAAGTCATGTTGGGGTTGGGAGTCATGGTGTGAAGGCTTCCAGCAGGCTGGGGCTGCTGGGGATGTGGTGGGAGCAGGAGGTTCCAAAGAGAGATCTGGACATTTGGCCTGGGACAACTGCTGTGCTGGGGTGCAGGTCTGGAGTCCTCTTTCAGTATCTCGATTTTAGTTTACTTGGCTTGTGATGACAGAGGTAACTAGAAGTAATGCCAGCTTTGTCCTCTGAGTTGTGGGTGGTCCTCAGTCCTGCTTTTCATCAGCCAGGATAAGATCACTTCTGAACTGTGCTCAACTATAGGATCAGATGTAAGGACAGAGAGGCAACTTAAGCTCCGGATCCAGAGTTGCGGCAGGTGTCAGCAAGATAGCACAGAGCAGCTATTCTTTGGCCTCTGCTACACAGGAATTTGCATGGAAGCCTTCAGCCACGCAGCAGAATAAGGCATTGAAAACCTGCACTGATAGAAAGAGGCTATGGAGTGTCTGCCCTGCAGGCAATTATCAGACCTGTGCTGCTCTGTGCAGAGCTCACAAGCCTTTTCCTCCCCAGAGGCAGATCAAGCAGATCACAGCAGTGTTTTCACTCTGCCTACCTTCCCGGATCCGGCCCTTGCTCATTGATCATGGAGAAGAGAGATTGCCTAGACAGTTCCTCTCTGGAAGCTGTTAAGATACATTTAGCTTCAGTTAAGACTCCTCATAAAACGAGTCAGCATTTGGGCAAGACAAGGCAGCACCTGGAAAGCCTCCAAGGCAGTGGAAGGAAACACGATGCTCAGGCAGGGCTCGAGCTGCTCATCCAGGGGATACATGGAGGAGTCGTGCTGATGGGGAGATGGAGGGGCTCACAGGCAGAGCTGAGATTTCCTAAGGGGCTCGTATGAGTAACACTTTCCTGGGGTGCATTTGGAGCCACAATAGATGCTTCCAGGTAGTCACTGTCTCAAAATATACCCTTTTCTTCCTAAAAACCCTAAAGCCTCTCTGCCAAAAAAGGACCAATTGTAGGTACTGTGGGCAGGTGAGGAAGGAAGAAAAACCTCCTTTTGCCTCTGCACTTTGCTTATGGTCAGCCCACAGGCTTGTGCATTCCATGTGCCGCATTCAGCCCACCAGCCTAGAGGTTTAGGTAGCCTTTACCCTTCTTCCACCAGCTGGCACAGGAAGGGAGGCTATGGGGACAGGTTGTGTGACATGGCAGCAGCGTGTGGGCCCTGTGTGCAGGGCAGGAGGCGCAGGGACTGCATCCCTCCCAGCTGAGGCTGCCCAGAGGTGGTGCAGTGGCTGGGACAGCCGCTGCCTTTCTCTCTTGTGTCACTGTGTGCATTGTGTTTCTTGGCACTGTGCATCCATGACATCTTGATTTGCAGACAGTCAAATAAAATAGAAAAATAATGCCCCCTATTAATAGGTTGACACACTGCTTCAGGCCAAGTGTGAGTATTTCTATAGCATTTGCTTTGCTGCCTTATGTCAGTAACTGTTGCTATTGAAAGTAAACACCCCAACTGGTTAAATCAACAGTGTTTTGTTTATTCAAAGCTCATAAACTCCAGTAGCTGTAGGTCACTTTATGAAGTGTCAACCCCTGGGGGAAGAGAGGGAATAGTGTGAAATTATTGCATACAGTCCACCCATCATGAGCCATAGAGGAAGGGGATTTATTGGCAATTAATATTTCTTGCAGAGGAAAAAAATGTAATCCTATTGAGGCAGTTCCATGCCGAACCTGGAGCCTCCCTTCTAGTGAAAATGGGGAATGGGGTGAGATGTTCTTGCAGGCCTGGGTGAAAAATAAGATCTCAGAAAATTAAAACTGTTTTTTCAGAAAATGGTTTGCAAACCACCCAGAGAACAGTGCAGGCAGAACATGCTAGAGGAAGCCTGGTGCACAGTAGGTACCTGAATTCCTCCACCTTTCCCTTTGGCATCATATCTGCACTGTGAAACTCAACTGGAAAATTTCTAAATGACATTGTTCTGCTGCACGTTTAAAGTAGGTGTGGGTTTTGTGCACCTGTAAGCATATGCCTATAAGTTATTAATTCTGGGTCTGGTTAAAAGCTCTTCTGGAGATGCCCATAGCCTGTAGCTGTGCCTGTGTGTAGCTTTGCCCCAGCCTGCTGCTGGCCAGTATGGGGCTGGCGTCAGGAAACCCTAGGACTCCTCTGCACGCTGCAGACTTCAGGCAGTATTGCTCAGCTGCCCTGCCTGGCTGAGGATGGCATCAGGGTTCCCCAGTGTACCTGCTGCCTCCCCAGCTCCCTGGTAGGTCGTCACAGCGTACACAAACATTGTGCTGGATGGAAGTTGAACAGAGACTTGGTCTTCAGCAGCCATTTCCAACTTGCCTGGATCCAAATGTAATTAAGATGAGTCAGATGGTTATTTCCAGGCTAAAATTTGTTCTCCTTCAGCCTGAAAAAGCCTTGCAAGCCACTGATCGAAGGGATGGCAGGTTACAAAGCGCTGTGTTAAGGCACTGAAGTCAGTAGGAGATGTAGATTAATCTGTAGTTTTGAAAATTTGGGACACTCAGGAAGTGAATTCTGTGGATTGAATAGAAATAAACAGTGTTCGGGGCGAAGCATAGCTACATTTTCTCTTGAGTGTTATGGACACGATCTTGGTTGTTGCTATTAACTCGTAAGTCTTTGAGGTTCCAAACCTTTGTGATAAATCCAATTATGAACTCATCAAAAGTGTGAGGATTTAGGGCTTGGAATTAATCATGCAGCCATGTGAAAGAAATTAGCAGCTTCTGTGAAAGTAATCTGAATATATAGTCTTAATTGGCAGCATCTTAGCCCAGCTGTTGTAATATATTTGAAGGGAACAATGAGTCATAAGGTTGTTTTAAATAGATTTTAAAAAATGCCTTTTGAACGGCATAAGAAACTTACAGATATTGACTTATTAGTGTTTCTAACAAGAGCAAAAGTTGTCAGACTGCAGAAGAGCTTCCACTGAGCTTGTCCTTACTAGAAAACTTGCCCTTCTCTCCCCTGCGTGTCTGTCCGCGTGGTTTAATGCTTGTGTTTTCCCCCCAAATATACCAACTTTGTTTTGCTGCAGTGAGAGAATTTGGGCAGCTCTCTCTGCAGCCAAGAGCTTCAGATTTTCGGCTCTTGTAAGGTTGCAGAGCAGTAAATGATGAAAAGGATGCCTGCACCACAGCTCTGCCCATGTGAGAGTGGAAGCCCAACATGAGTGTGTAGGATAACATTTCCTTATTTTTGGCCCAGCACTGATTGGTGTCCAGTGAAGGCAAGACACAAGTGCTCAGGGCCTCTTGGGAGCTTGCTTTTTGTTACAGAAAGTTAAAATCCAGCCAAGGCAGCTGCTAAATAGATGAGCGGCATCCTCTGGAGGCCCTTCCAGTTGGGGTGGATGAATCTGGAGGAGTTTGAGTGCAGGTCACGAACTCACAGTTCACCAGCCCCAAACTGCTGCCCACCTGGTCTGCTCACAGGGAAGCTCCTGATGTTTTCCAGCTGTCTGTGTCGCAGGGAATGATTCTCGTGTTGCTTTCTTCGGCTCCTGCTGCGTGTGAGCAGTGGGTTAAGGTGGGCTCACAGGGAAGGTGAGCAGGACCCTCTGCCGCTTTCCTGACCCCGCACACGGCTGTTTTAATGGGAGGAGAGGTGGTGCTTTCTGGGTTTTCTGAGTGGGGATAGAGAGAATCGCAAAAAGCTGGGGCTGCTGTGCCCCCATGGCTCTGTGGTTGCCCCCGGCTGTGTGTGGGCTCTCAGTGCCCATGGAGACAGTGCTGCTGTGGCAGCCGTGCGGAGCTGGGCTGACATTGGGCATGGTCTGTGGGAGGCAGTGGGTGTTTGTAGAAAAGGTTTATTTTTATTTTTTTTTTTCTGAAGGAATTTGGTATTATTCAGTGGAATCCTCTCTGCAGGTGGAATTTTTGGGCTCCAGTGCTGTAGTGTGCCTGCACTTGAAAATTTGGCCATTTATTTGGAAACAGACATGGGCAAGTTCCAGCTCATTCATCCAAGCTGTCCTTTTTCAAGGACAAGGAGTAAGGCCAGCACAGCTGAATGCTGCAGCCAGCTCCTGAATGTTTCCAAATAAAATGCCTTGAGTAAGTTTATTTTTCCCTCTCAAACCTAAATTTAGCACCCTGGAGAAGCTGCTTTGGCAGTCAGCGGATGGTAACGATGACAAGATCAATCTGTGGATAGTTCTGGGCAGATTTGGAAAGTGCTGGTAAAACAGAGTTGATTTCATTCATGTCTGTATTTTGTCCGCAGCCCAAAGGTCTGCTCATGAACTTCCGATGGTTGAAAGACAAGACATTGATAGCTGCCTCGTGTATGGAGGGCAACAGATGATCCTGACAGGACAGAATTTCACAGCGGAGTCCAAGGTGGTGTTCACAGAGAAAACTTCAGGTAAGGCAGTTTTTTCCTCACTTTCCCTAATGAAACAAGGCAAATCTGCAGTACTGTTGTGTCTCGTGGTGTTGTCCAATGGTTTGTGCTCAACCCTACTCCAGTGAGTAATCCCTTTCAGGTTGTGCTAAGTAAAACCAAATCTCTTGACTTGAGTTAACCATGTGAGTGAAATTAGCCCTGGGAGCAAACATCTGCATCGTTGGCCTTGCAGGCGCTGTTGGAAAGTAAATCAAAGCCACGTCGTGGGGAAGGCTCACAACAGTACAGACACTGGGAATCTGTGGAAAAAGGATGCATTATCAAAGAGATGACCGCTACGTGCTCCTTGTGCTTATTCAATCTCGTGTTTAGTGAACAATACTGTAGAAGTAATAATTGAGATGAGCATTTCTTACTGCAGTCAGAGGTTGAGATTTCTGCCCTTAGAAGTCTGTGGGGGAAAAATGTGCATGATGTGTATTTCGGTATCAAAGCAACATACTTCTATACGCGTAGTGAGATACAAGAGTGCATCACTTCATCTTCTGTATTTTTTCAGATATTTTTACATTTTTTTCATATCTTTTTACATTGATTGCTGCCACATCGCTCCTTAGAAAGAACCCTTTTAAGCATAAGCAAAAACACATATTTCCCCAGCGTGAAGGGAAACAGTGCCTCCATGGGCAAACGAAGTTCAAGACTGTTGAAATATGCTGAAATCAAATGGAAAATAATCAAAAATGCCACAAAACATAAAAATATATTGTGTTGACCAAGTATTGCTTCTGTGAGGGCCTTTCTCTCAGGTGTCAGTTATCTCCAGGCAGGCAGCTGCTGAGCTCTCTGAAGAATCTCTAACTTTACCACATACCCCTGAAACACAGTTGAAATTTGCACTGCTTCCGCTTGTGCAGGTTTAAGTCACCCCAGCATTACTGTTGTAAGCTGAGGCATTGGGTTAAATTACACAGCCATCTCAGCTGTGCACATCCGTGCTCCTGCCCTGCTGGGTGGGCTGGCACTGCATTCTGCACACAGGCATGCAGCAGGGCCCAATGCACCATCAGGACAGGAACCCACAAAAGCCTGTTTTGCTCAGGCTGGAGCAAAACAAATCAGTTCAAAGAGAAAGGTTACCTGTTACAGCACTATACTTTTTTTTTTTTTCCAGCAGAGTTGCGTTTTAAATCATGTCTTTGCCAAAGTTTTCAGGTGATATCGCTAGCTCTTGGTCAGCTGTGAAGGGAGAATGACTGCAGATTTTAAATTCTCTCTCTTCTCCTTTCATCTTTGCTATTTATTTGCTTGACTTACATAGGGTCAGTACAAGATGATCCCAAGCCCTGGTTGGTGTTGGATGAATATAAATAATAATGAGTGGTTACAGGGAGTTATTTAATTGCCTAGCATCACCTCTGCTGCTTTTGCTGAGTTCATGTTCCTGTGTTTTCCTAATGGCATGCCATAATAGAAATCACTTGATTTCTGACTCAAATACCTTACCCCAGAACATATACTTAGTGAGCTCTGACAGTTCAGGTGGGCAGCAGAAATCCAGCATTCTGCTGTAGTAACATGTTTTCTGGGAGCAGAAATTGTTTCTTTTCTATCATGCATTGGCAGGCATTTCATCTCCCTTCACTAAGCAACATTTGTATCTTATTGGATTTTCTAAGGCTGTTTTACAAAGTGACATTTGTTCATTTGTAGATGGTCTGGACTTGTTTAACTTAGGCCTGATTTTTGCATTCTGAATAATGTGCTCTGCGAGGATTGTAACAACGGCCAGGGAACAGAAAAGCACTCAGCAGTATGAAGGGCAAGAGTCTGCCATCCTTTACTCTTGTTGGTTTCAGTGAGACAAAGGAATTAGCAGTACTAAAAAGCAGTAGTTTGTTTTATGTCAACTTTGCAGTCTCTGTGCTGCTAAGAAAACACTGTTCGTATGTTTCCTGTCAGTGAACTATGGCAGAGAAGGCATAAGCACTGTATCGAGTGACTGGCAAGGAGGGATTTAAGAAATTTCATTGCATGTATGTGATTTATTGGGAAATGCTTTTGGCAAAAAATAAGAATCAAAACAAGCATTAATGTATATGGGCATCCACTGGTGAAAGTGGGGGGACAAAAAGCATGTTAGGGGCCTGATTTCTTCTCACAGCATCTGCAAGGCATGCTGTTTCTCAGTAAGGGTCAATAGGGCTGTGAGGGCTCTGAAGAGCCTGTGCAGTCAGTGCAGTTTTCTTGGCACTCTTGGTTTCCTTTTGAGCCCATGTTTTAATTCCTTCCCTCTATGCTGCCACTGTTCCGTCCGTGTCAGTGAATCATGAAGGTGCATGGGAACATGCTTGGCAGCCCGCGATGGTACCTGTCCCAAGAATGCTGTGCAGTAACTAAAGGAGATGATACTCTAAAAAGGAGGTAGCTCTTAATGCCATTTCGAGGAAACATCTGAAGTGCCCAGCCCTTATTTCCGTATGAGAGTAGAGAAGACTCTGTCTGGAATAGATGTTAGAAAGTAAGAAGGACAACAACATTTTCCACACTAAATCTAAAGCTTTTCTTCGCTACTGGGGAAACTGCACTTTTTTTTTTCTTTTTTTACCTCCTGGTAGTGGAGAGCCATGACTGAGCCCAGCAGCAGCGCTCAGTCTGGAGCAGAGATTTGCATGCTGGCGTTCCACATCCTGCACTGCTCCCCCGCTACCTCTGCAGCCAACCTCGAGCTGCTAGACTTTGGAGAAATGATTGGCAGAGGGGATGTTTGGAGTCTGGGAAGCGTAAATTTAAACCTTTTGTCTGGATCAGAAGTGTGTACACAGTTTGGTGGTCTGTAGTGTGTCTGAGGGACTGCGCTCTGCTGCAAGCTTGGTAGTAATTCTTTCTGTGTCCATGCACTGCTTTATAATTCAGCAATAACTCTCTCAGATATGCCCTGAAGTGCTTCTAGTGTGAAGATTTCGTTCTTTAATAGATACCCGTTAAGATGAAGAAGGTTCAGAAAATGAGCTGGATATACAAATCATTCAGGGGCTGATGTAACTTCAGCTGATTGCAGTAGATGGAGAATAAAGCCTTTCTGTGGAGCTTGTACAGATTAACGAGTGTCCCAGCCAGTCTGAAAGTTAGGATCTTACTCACCTGTGACTTTCAGCTTCTCCCTTTATGAACTGTGGACTATTCAAATTATTATTTCAGTTCTGTGCCTGGTTGTTATTGTGTTAGGCTGCATGAACACAGTAAAAAAGGCCGGTTCTGCAGCCGAGTTTCTCAATTAGAAATGTTGCTGGGTGGAAGGAGGAGGTGAATACTGCACTCACCCCGGAGAGCTTGCTTGCTGCAGCATCTGTCTGCACAGCACTGTGCAGGGAGCTCTGATAAGCTGCTCAGCAGCAAAGTAAACCACAATAAACATGAAGGTGGGTGGATTGCTTGCTGCTCGCGTGACCCTGCCTGTCGCGTCCTCTCCCAACGCACGATGCTGCCCTGGGGAGCCTCTGTAAGAACAGGGGCTTTTGTGAAGGCAGGAACATGCAGCAGCTCTCGGGGGAAGCACAGTTTTCTCTGAGTTTCATTTAACAGCCACAAGCCTTCTCTGTGCCAGCAAGTGCTATTTGATTTCCCACCTTTGCCACTAGTTGTAGCTCTACCAGTAACAGCAAGGGTGAGAACAGCAGTGTGGACAAGTATCTAATGGCTTTTGGCATGCTGTACTCTGCTGATGTTCTTGGTTTGGCTTGTTTGTCTGGATTTGAGATTAGAATAGCAAATCCCTTTTTTCCCCAAAAACTTCTGTGCAAGTACATCTGTGCAGGGAGGTGCTCAGGAAATCCTGCTCAGGGTTTCACAGACATTCCACCGCCTGGGTCTTCCCAGGGCCTGGGCTATGGAGGTGTCTGCAGGGAGCCAGGTGCCACTGTTGAAGTTCTACAGACTGGAGTAACCTGCTCTAGGGGCTCACAGCTGTCAGTTAGGTTTTACTCTTCAGATGGGTACTTAAAGCATTCTCCAGTTTCCTCTGGATTTTGTAGGCAATTGTTCACTCATTGCTGTGACACAGAGAAACATGGCTCTGAGAACAATAATGAATAGTTTTTACATCTCTGTTACAGAGCACAATAGATGTCATTTTCCCCCTAGAAATACCTGGAAAATAAAGAATACTCCTAAAATTACGTTGCGATTTCATTATGAAATTAGCTGCCTTTTTGTATGCTAACTACAAACTAGTGCAATTAACTCACCACCAAGAAGTCTGTAAAGGATTCATTCTAGGCTTGCCACAGGAAATGGCAGCAGGAAACAAACTGAAGAGGCGAGGCTGGAGCTCAGTGCTTTGTGTGTGATAGAGGGGATGAAGTGCTTGTGTTTGAACTGCTGTTGCCTAAATATAATTCATTTTCTTAATACCAAGGTTTACCAACATGCAAGCATTATAGTTCTAGGCTCTTTTTAAGGTTGTGTCTTCCTGTTGAGCGCTTGTAATCCCTAGCTGCTGTAGGGCAGGGAAGCTCATGCATTAGAAAGAGCCAGTCAGCACACGCAAAAGCAGAGCTGGGTTCAAGATCCGAACTCAAAGAAATCTAACTGAGCCTATCTATCTGAATAAAAATAAGTCAGGGGAAGTTACTGGGTGGGATTATCCAGATAGAAATTTTTGAAGCCTGTGTATTCTTTCAATTGTGATCTGGAAGAGAGAGCTGGGAAAGCAATCCTGTGGCTATCGAGGGCTTTGAATACGCTAAAGCTCAGGGGTGTTGTAGTTTGGTTATGGCCCACATCTTACAATGCAGTTTAAGAAAACCACACAACAGTTTGGGAATCCCCCCTTGTATTTGTTTTAATTATCATGTAATAATTTGCAAGTCAGATGCTGTTGGTTGCATTGTTTACTCCCATTTGTATACTGGTTACTGCTGCTCTGCTGTGAGTGATAGAGAAGTTCCGTGTTTCTCCAGGAGAAAAGTGCAAATGGACTGGCTTTCCCGTGCCAAACTCTTATGGTGGCCACATGG